GGGACAGTGACAGTAAAAGAAGGAAAAAAGGAAGGGTACTTAGGGTCACCAGGAAACTTTTGAGGTGCTTTATCTTTTCATTATTTGATTTTGGTGATAGTTTCACTGGTGTGTATATCACCTCAAACTTCCCAAATTGTATACTTTAAATATGTGCAATTTATCATATGTTACTTATACTTCAATAAAGCTATTAAAAAATTAAAAATCCTGTGAGATTTCTACTCCAGATTCTGTGGGCAGTGCAATCTGACAATGCCTAACATGGATTCAATTGTGTCCCCTAAAATATGTGTCAACTTGGCTGGGCCATGATTCTTGAAGTGGTTTGGCAGTTTACGTACAGATGTAACTTGGCAATTATGCAATAATGTAATTATCCCCCATGATGTGACTGGGTGTGATTTGAAGTAAGGGAAGTTTCCCAGGGGCATGGCCTGCATCACTTTTTATCTTACAAGAGAGAAAAGGAAAGAGAAGGGAGCAGACAGGGAAGGACCTGACTACTATTAAGAAAAAAGAGTCAGGAGCGGAGCATGTCTTTTGGACCCATGGTCCCTGTGCTGAGAACCTCCTAGATCTGGAAGATTAATGCCAAGACACATGAAGATCTCCCAGAAACACCAGGCCCCAGATGTTGAAATAAGAAAAGGACTTTCTCCCAGAGCCAACAGAGAAAGAAAGCTTTCTCCTAAAGCTGACACCCTGGATTTGGATTTCTAGCCTCCGAAACTGTGAAAGAATAAATTTATGTTTGTTAAAGCTATCCACTTGTGTTCATTATAGCAGCACTAGCTAAGTAAGACAGAGCCCAAATTGACAGACCAGTCCTTTCTTCTCATCTTTTCAAGGATGAAAAAAGTTTCTTTTCTCTAGTCCTGAAAATGGACTTTTTATCTTCCACAATTTACACAAGATATTCATAACTAGTTATATACCACATTAACAAAGAAGGACACCATCACTGCTTTGGAATCTCTGATCCATTAAATATACTTCTTGTTGTTATGTGTCGTCAAGTCGGACCTGACTCATAGCGACCCCTCCTTGGGTTTCCGAGGCAAGATGACTATGGAAGTAGATTGCCCAACCTTCCTTCCGAGGAGTGGCTGGTGGGTTTGAACCACCAGCTTTCTGGTTAGCAGTCAAGTGCCTTAGGCACTATGCTACCAGAGATCCCATCAAATATACTAGAGACTATTAAAAACATTAATATTCCCCCTCTCTCTTTCCCTCTCAGCAAACCTTGGACTAATGCTTCTCTTACCATCTCTATTTGAATTTCCTCCAACTATATAATTCATTAGTAAAGTTGTAGCATAGTATTGGTTTCTCTCTGAACCCTAGCTGCTCATTTGAAATTGTACAAAGAAGTACACTGTCATAGCACAAACACTAAACTGAACTACATGCCAGGCATGACTCTGGCCCATATGCATTTGCTTGATGCAGGGTCTTGCTGAAGATTAAATGTCAACTATAAAATCACACGTGAATAGGTATTATGCTTTGTTACAACATAATATTGCACACAGTTGTTATTATTTATTTAAAATTTTAAGTGGTACTTGTCAATCTAAACAAGGTGTTTTTTTTTCGGAGATGTGAAATATTCACACTTAAAACTAAAAATGGATTGCTTTTTAAAACAACAGATGAAAAGAGACTGATCTGGCTCAAAATGACATGCTAACTTATTAGTACCGTTCGATTCTTTTAGTTAGTGCTAACAACATTAACATAACAGCAATGTGTTGAACACTGTCAGTCACTCAGTGAGAGTATGGGTATTGCTATGTATGTACACATAGACATACAGTTGAACAGAGGACTTACTACTGTATAGCATACCTTTCACAAAGCCAAAAAGTACAGTGAGGAGTTACTAATTTTTAAGGCAGAAAAAAAAATTTTTTTCAATTTTTACAAAAGACTTCCATGGTTCATCATTTAGAAACAAAATACCATCACCACAAAAATAAGTTTTTTTGCTTCTTTCAGAATAAACTGAACACCCTGATGTTACTGGATATAGATGCCTGAACATTTAAATCATACTGAAAAAATGTATCTTTAAGGTTATTTAAAAAAGGTGACTGGGTCGTTAGTAAGAAGCATCTATCACAGAGGAAAAACTCTTGCAGCACATTATAAGTATGCTAGATGAATGACATCTAGTACATCGAGGCACAGTATCACTGCCTATTAACCTATGTGGAAAGGAATGTAAGAATGCACTTTCAGTGGAACTGATGAATTAGTTCAAAGGTTGAGAGCAATGAAATCTTTGTGACTCAAATGGGAAACGTATAACTATTTTTATGTATGATCTTTCCATTTGTTTTCATGTTATTTATACACGCAGCTGCATAGAAGATTTATCACTGATGTAAAATATATGATTTGAATATAACAACATTATTAGCATTTGGATCAACTTTTAATATCACCAAACAAGCTGATAAAAGTATCATATCTGATCCAACAGTGGGAAGGCAACAGCAGGAAAAAACTGATAGGTGCTGCTTATATAAAAGGTACTGACAAAACGTATTAAGAGCTAGATAAGTACTAACTGTTAATGACAGCATTTTTCAAAATAGAGATGGACAACGCCACACAAATTGTCAGTTTTATCAAGGAAGTATTTAAATTAAACTTTTGAGATGTATCTGTTAAACAGCCATTTAGCCCCAGAATTGTTTTTGTCCCCAAACCTGTTGTTCCAGAAGTAAAGCGCAGTAGAGACAATTCAAATGACAGAAGTCATCTTTTTTTCCCAAGAGATGTGGACTATGTGATGAAAAATTCCCTCCAATAGAAAATACCCTAAATATTCATCAATAGAAAACTGGCTAAATAAACTATGGTATATCCATACTAAGGAACACTATGCAACAGTTATAAAAAATGAGATCTACTGTGCAGAGAACTGATGCTTTCATATACATATTCTCTACTTACACAAAATCTGAGTGTTTCTATTTCTTGTAACTAAGACATGCAATTTGAGGCAATGTAATGAAGTAAAGATTTTTATGTAGTATCTTTTTGGAAGGGAAAGGAGGCAAACTAACTTCCCATACAGACTTACCACGTTAATGTCATTCCTATAAAAAAATACTTTGAACAACTGTAAAAGGTAGCTTCAGAAATCACAACATCTTTTAAGGTTCTCGCTTCTTAACCAGTTGCAGTGGTTATGTTTGTGTGTCAACTTGGCTGGGCCTGGTTGAGTGGCTGGGCAGATGGATGTAGTATTTCCCATGATGAGACTGATAATCAACTCCATGGTGCAATCTACTGGGAGCAGATGAGTAGCTGCCTTTGGGTATGTGGTATGCTTCCCCTATATAAGAGACAGCTTTGGGAATGGTCTCTAGCTCATGGCACGCTTGGACCCAGCATGTAGCTGTGTCGTTGTTCAGCAGCCTTCCATGCTCTGCTGACCTGGGGACTTAAAATGGACTTAAATTAATGGTTTGGTTTGGTAACATCAGGACTGTGCCTTTTTACTTGTCAACCTTGGGCTTGTCAGCCTCAGCAGTCAGCAGCTGAGTGAAGAAAAGCCTCTAGCTTCAGTGGGCCGGGAGCTAGAGGCAGAGCTGAAGGCTAAAGCTAAGGGACTTTCACCCAGCCCCTAGAGTTTGGCACTTTGAACTTGGACTTAAAGCCTCCAAATTGTAAGAATAAACTCCTGTTTGTTAAGGCCATCCCATTTGTGGAATATTCTTGTCAGAGTGGCACTAGGTAACCAGAACACCAGTCATTTCAAAAGTCTTCTCAGTCACGCCACCTCTCTTCTCAAATCACTCTGTCCAATGCAAACTTTTAAACCGTATCCTCTAGGGATTTTCTCTATTAACAAATACTTTTTGCTTAAGAGTCAAGTATCTACTTTTATTCAGCTGCCTTTTTTTTCCCTTCTGTCTTTTAAGGTGCTCTGGTGGCATAGTGCCAAAGGCATTTGACTGCTAACCAGGAGGTTGGTGGTTCAAAACTACCAGCCACTCTGCAGAAGGAAGGCTGGGCAATCTATTTCCATAAAGATTTACCACCTCAGAAACACAAAGGGGGTCATTATGAATTGGAATCAACTCAGGCAGTGAGTCTGGTTTTTTTTTTTTTTTGGTTTTCTGTCTTTTTTAGTGTAGGGGTGGGATGACTATGGGGAGGAGTGGAACAGGATCTCAAGGAACTTAAGCGAGGGTCTTTGGGGTGTGTGTGTATGTGTGTGTATAACGCTGAACACTACACCCAAAAGGAGCTCTGAGGAAAAGAGACTATGGGAAAGGCTCTCCAGACCCATCATCGTAGCTCTGGTCAACACAAAACTGTCTCTAAGGTTTAGCTGTTCTCTCTTATCTTTATTCTGAAATTTTAATAAAAGCTGCACCAGAAATCAGCTTTATCAGAATGACAGCATGAGAGTATTTTTCTGTTTTCCCATAAGGGATATTTTCTAGGACGGTTCTACCTGGACAGGGTTTTTCTGTTGGTATTTACCTCCCAAACAGTCCACCCCTCCCAACCCTTACCCCCATGTCTGAGCTCAGGTATGACATAATTTATTTTGAATTAATTCATCTTTTTTTCTGAATAGATAATAAATAATTCAAAATTCACATGGAAAAAAATTCACATGAGTAAAAAGTCTGCCTCCTCCATCCACCCAGGGACAACCAAAGTTTCCAGTTTAAAAATGCAACTTTACATTTTTCCAAATTAACTAAATTAGCTAGATCAAATTATGATATTAAGCTATCTATCTATCTAGAATATTCCAAGTGATCACTATGAATTTGGTAATTTCCCCTTTTAGGCATTTAAAATACCCTTCAAAATACTTTTATAGATATGTTTTCAATATATTAAAATGACTTAAGGTTAGTTATAACTTTTTTTTAAATGGGAAAAATGTTTGCAATATGTATGATTACAACAGATGTATAGGAATTACAGCTAGTAAGAATCAATCACTATGGCATATGGTAGCTTACCTGGTTCCTGTCGCGTGCATTTGTGTACCTGATCTTCTGAATGAAGTAGAATATAAGCCATGCTGAAGAAATTATCATCAAAACAATAAAGGATATTGACACGAAGACTAGAGAGCCACGGCTGAAGTTCTTTGGCGGCATACGAGCTCCAACAGCTATTGTCATTTGTACAGAGATGTTTTTCTCCAGATAACTCAAAATATCCTTACCCCTCAATTCTGTAATCATGACAGCAATAATATCTCCAGTGCCTGCAATGTCAAATAAATATGTATACTCAAGTGACATTTAAAATGTATAGAAACATCAATATATAAAAATGCTATTTAGAAAAACAACTACAATTTTTGCTAATAACAAGGGTTTGCAGATTCAGCTTTTCAAATGAAGTCAAGCTGCATTTGAGTATGTTGGCACCAAAGGGGGATACATAATTTATTGTGTTGTATAGTATTTAAGATTTAAACAGACTTAAGGCATAAAACAACTGCAGTGTTAAGAACTGTATTAACTTGTCTTATAACTGTATTTTTAAAAAAAGGTTATTAAATCAATCAAATGTCACAACAGAAAGAACAGAAAATTTTACAGCAACAGAAATGTGATAAACTCATGTTTCCATAGTAAAACTTTTTCCATTTTAAAATGCTCTTCAAAAGTCCCAACTCCCTAAGAAAAGGAGAAAAGCATTGTTATCTACAATACAAATTGGTATTTTTTGCACTAATTATTCTAGGAGACATTTATGGGGCGCCTATTGTGTGTAGAATGACTGTAAGGAAAAGAAGTACAAGATACAAAGTTTTAAATATCTCCAAAATGTTGGGCACACGCCTGATAATAGAGCTGCAACAGCAAAATGCCAAATGGTGCTACCTTTTACTAATGACATTTGAAACTAACTTTGGTCTTATGTCTAGATCTGACTGGACCAAGGCTCCTTTTAATTTGCCTGAGAACCTTCTGGAAGTCAAAGCCTTCCTGAGACAGGTTCAAGGTTCAACATTCCGACCAGGGTGACATCAAAATACTTCCAGTTTCTACAGTAAAGACCTGCAAAAGCCATAACCTGTGTAAGGCAGAAAGCTGCCAGAGAAGGCAAACTCCAGTATTTTCCACTAAAACGAGTGATAGAAAAGTACTAAGACTGTACCTTATTAAAGGTGGAAAACTTGCAAGACCAGGTAAAATAAGGCAGTTCCAATGAGTTCTGGCTCTCAGGTTTCACTGTAATAATTGTCCACAGGTCTGTCATTAAATCAAAAATACCAAACCCACTGCCATAGAGTTGATTCAGACTCATATCAACACCTTAGGACAGAACAGAAATGCCCCATAGGGTTTCCAAGGTTGTTAAATCTTTGTGGAAGTAGAATGCCTCATCTTTCTCCCATGGAGTGACTGGTGAGTTCAAACCTCCAACCTTTTAGTTAGCAGCCAAATTCTTTAACCACTTACACCACAAGAGCTCCTATGTTCTGCTGTAGGCACAAACTAATGAAGCTCATTAATGTTGTTCTGAATTTACCCTTTTAGTCACTTTATTCTTTCTCTTACCTAATTTCCAGAAGCAGAAATACATAAAAGGCAGGTGACTATCTCTCCATGGATAGCATCAATTACAAGACCTTTTCTCCTCCACAAAGGGAATAATTTCCCACTTTGCTTTAAGGAAAAAAAGTAGCCTTTCCACCAGCAATCTAGCAGCAGTGGTAGTTTCTGAAACAGGAAACTGTCCGTGGCAAATGCAACTTTTACAACTTGCCCTTTTCAGAGATCCCCTAAAGGAAACTGGGCTGTCTCATCAGGGGAAGGGAATAGCATTTTTTTTGGGGGGAGGGGGGACTGAAAATTTTAACTACTTATTTGAACTGGAATAAGGTTTGTGCATATAAACGTAAGTCACCAAAACCAAGCAAGCAAGCAAGCAAGCAAGAAACCCAAACTTGCCCTTTTTCAAAGGCTTCTTGAATAAATAATACATACTTATATTTGTTTTTGTATGTTTCATTGACCACAGTCAGCTACAAAGGCTATCCATGTGTCACACGCAGTCAAAAGACCATGTGAAACTAAAAAGAAATTCATTAATAAAAAGAGCTTTATGAAAAATGTAACCCCATGGAACATACACCTTTGTATTACCTTATTCAAAATTGTTCTAGCCACCTTACCAGAACAGCACTTTATCAAAATGCTGTTTAAAAATACAGAAACAAAAATAAAAGTGCAAAATTAAAGCAAGCAATAAAGTTAACATCTAATTATTTTCTGAAATAAGAGTTTTGATCAGTAAATTAGAGAAAATCATAAAATACTGCTAAACCAGTTTAAATTTCCATGTAGAAACTTTAGGCTTGTGCTATTACAATGCTGTTCAACAGGCAATGATCTGTGGTATAAGATACCAGGTATGGCTATAAAGTAACTGAGACGGATCCCACAAACTACACATGACAATCAGTCTCATTGCTTTATAATCACACCAGGTACAAACGGTTTTAGAAATCGGTTCAGAGGCTCCCTCTTGAAGACTCAAGCTGGAAAAGGAGTAGGGAAAACTGCACAGGTAGCCAAAGGAGCCAATCCACGTAATTTCACTCATTCAAGAAACACTAAGTGAACTCCAACTAATTTCAACTGGAAAGCTGTTTGGGAAAAGAAGTGTTTAATTATTTCAACCATCCATTCAACATTTATTGAGCACATACTATGATCAAGCTCCTTAATGTTCACCTTTCAAAGAAGGTGGAAAATTACCTGCTCTTGCTTAGATGAAAACTCCATCTACCCACATGAGGGCAAAGGAGAATTTTACAAAGGCACTAGAAAGTGGAGCCAAACACAGGCAGTCTCATCATACCAGGAATAAGGGAAGGGACTGGGAAAAGCAGCAGGAAAGAAGGCGAAGACACTATTTGAACAAAATGAAAAACAACTACAGCAGAGCATCAGAGTACTAGCAAGTCTTACACGCCTTAGAGGTTCTGAGGACCCCTCCCAAAAGAATCTCCCTCCCAAAATTCTGCTGATTTCAGAAGGGGTTCATGAGCCTACTCACTCCCCATCCCTTGATCCTGTCTGGGTTTGCAGACCCTGTTTTAAGGATGCCTCTGATGTTTGACTTTTGATTTGTAAAGCCATGGTCCAACTTCAGGGAGGATATTAAAGAGAAAACTAAAGTTTCAGAATAAGATTAGGGTTAGATCAAGCAGTGATTGGTAAGAGTTAAGGACCAGGCTGGACTATAATAATAAAATATTCAATCAAAGATAGAAAATATCTGGAACCTCCATCCCCACTCACACTTCCTAAGCTCCTAGCAAGCACACTAATAAATCAAAGATGTGGTCTCAGAATCCCATGCATTTCAGCACGTCAGGCAGCTACTATAAATTTATGAGAGATGACAATTAAGTAAAAACCTAGGTATTTATGATCTATGCTTTCAACTACTTCCTTGCAAAACTTTCTCCACTGTTATTCTTAATGCAAAACTTTGTTTCCATTCCTTGGGTTTGGCTACCTTAATAAATGATTTTATTTTTCCCACTTTATTTTGAAATTTTCAAAATCACAGAAGGGTTTAAATAATAGTAGTGAACACTAACATACTTTTTATTTAGATTTGTCAACTAGTAACATTTTGTCACATTTACCCTTTCTGTATGTATTTATGTACTCACAGTAAAATGTAATTATTTGATCATTAAATACTGATGACTTTTTTAAAATTGTGATTTGAGTGAAAGTTTACAGGGCATATTGGATTTCCATTCAACAATTCATACACAGTTTGTTTTGTGACATGTCCTGCAATCCCCACAATGTAACAGCACTCTTCCCACTTCCTCCCTGTGTTTATCATTTCCTTTCAGCCTTCTTTCCTATTCTTTCCTGCTTTCTGAGCTTTATTAATGGGGAAATGCTGCTTTTTCGATTGCATATGGTTGATCGTTCTAATGACTGTGTACCTCCCAGATATTACTGTTCACCTTAAAGCCTTGTCTATTATTTGGCTGAAAGTTCAGCCAGGTGGGCAAGTTCAGTTCCAGGCTTGATGGGTGTCTAAGGGCCACAGTCTGAGGAGTTCCACCCTGAGACTATCAGACTAGTAAGCCTGGTCCTTCTTATTATTTGAGATTTGTTCCACATTTTTCTCCCAGTCTGTCTAGAACCTCCGACTGTGATCCCTTTCAGTATGGTCAGTAGGAGTGGCAGATATCATTTAATTCTTTTGATCTCCGAGTTGTGGAGGCTGGGGTTCACGTGGTCCATTAGTCCTTTGGACCAATTGTTAACTTGTGTCTTTGATTTTCTTCACTCTTTGCTCTAGACTCAGAGAGATGAGTAGTTACACCTTAGATGACCACTCAACTCACAAGCTTTTAAGACCCCAGTTGCTACTTACCAAACCAGGACGTGAACAGTGTTTTTGTCCTGAGTCCCCAGGCCCAGCAACTCATTCCCTCAAGGTGTTTGGTTATGGCTAAAAAGTTTTCATAACTTTGCTCCCTGTATATTCTACTATTCATAAAGTTTTCCAGTAATATATCAGAGAGTGTTTTACGGCTATTCATAAGGTTTTCAGTGGCCAATTTTTTCAGAAGCAGATGGCTCCATCCTTCTTCCTAATCTGTTTTACTGTGGAAGCTTTGTTGAAACCTGTCCACCTTGGGTGACCCTGCTGGTATTTGAAATACTGGAGGTATAGCTTCCAGCATCACAGCAACATGCAAGCCAGCATAGTACCTTGGTATCATGCTTGGTAAAGTAGAGGGTCAATAAAAAAGGGGAAGACCCTCAACAAAATGGACAGAGTGGCTGCCAACGATGGGCTCAAGCATAGCAAAGATTGTGAGGATGGCACAGGACTGGGCAGTGTTTCATTCTATCGTACACAGCATCACTATGAGTTGGAGCCTACTCAATGGCACCTAATAACAATAACAATATGCTCTACTATATTCATGGATATATTTGCAGCACATATAAATACATATGTAAAAATATCCTGTCAAATTTATATATATTCATGAACGTGGTTCCATTTGCCTTCCTATCCTTGTTCAGCCTGAATGTCTATTTTTGCTGAACCCATTAAGATCAGGATATAACTATCACCACACTTCATCCTAAAATACTTCAGCATTATCTTCTAAGAACATATGCCATATAATCATAATTCAATTATCATATTCAAGAAATTTAATTGATACAATATTAATATATAATCCATAGTCAAATATCT